AAGAGTGAAATAAAAGGGATATTCTGTACAAGTCGACCAGAATCACTAAAAGCAAAACAACAGAAAGGGGTGGAGGGGAGATGGGAGGGGGAGAGGGTTAAGAAGGTCAATGCACAAACAGGTTAGAGGCATTGCAGGTGAGCTTTGGAAAGCCCATAGAAGTTGAACGGAAGGAGGTAAAGAGGCAATGACATGAAACAGTAGAACGGGCATGGCAGTGTGGGTAGAGTGGTGGTTAGGGCAACACAGAATCACAGACAACAAAGGTGGGAAGGGACCTTAGGAGGCCACCTCTAGTCCAACCCCCAGCTCCAAGCAGGACCAGCCCCAACTACATCATCCCAGCCAAGGCTTTGTCTACCCAGGTCCTAAAAACCTCCAGGGGTGGAGACTCAGCTTGTTCCAGTGTTTCACCACCTTCCTAGTAAGAAAGTTTTTCTTAATATCTAACCTCAACTTTACCTTCTGCAACTTGAGCCCATTGCTCCTTGTTCTGTCACCTGCCACCACTGAGAAGGGTCCAACTCCATCCTCTTTGCAACCCCCTGCAGGGAGCTGAAGACTGTAATTAAACCCCCCCTCAGTCTTCTCCAGACTAAATAAGCCCAGTTCCCTCAGCTTCTCCTCACAAGTGATGTGTCCCACACATGTGAAGTGTGAGGCCAGGGGGTGGAAACAGTAGAAGCCTTCTCGTCAAAGATCCTTGACATCTTGGCCCACACAGAAAGCAAACCTGGTGTACACGTCCCCTTAGGCTTTCAGTTTTGTTCAGACCCCAAATGCTCTCTCAGGGTCAAAACTTCAAGACACAAAAGATGTGTCAGTGGAAGAAAATTGTTCTTCAATGAAAAAGGAAATGTCCGCAGGAAATGGCCGTTTATCATTTTTCCAGGTTTTAAAACAGCTGAATATTCAACGTTTTAAACCAAACAATTCCTTGCTGCTTTCCTCTTTTGGGAACAGCCCACCCTCCTTCCATTCAGCATTTTCACTGGTAAATGACCGTATTTCCAAATTCATCCTTAATCTTTCCTTCATACAAAGACAAAATATCTGGAGCACTAGACACTATTTCCCTGTTTATTCTTTATACTCCCTACTCTTCAATGCCTAATTTTATACTTTTTAAAATGAAGTTCTATCTGGGGGGCTAATTAATATTAATTTATACCATAGAGTATTCATTAATGAGTAAACAGAATTGCTCAACCCTGTAATGACAAGCTCTTGCACCTTCTTGGGGCAGCTAGGGTTAGGTCTATAGGAGGCACTCAGAACTGTGTGATTAACTGTTTCAGAGCCAAGGAGAAATCCTAGCAGAAAAACATGGGAACAACACAGCTCTTCCCATATTCCAGGTTGTTCAAGCCACCCCTTAAAATGGTCTGGGGTATAAAACAGAAGCACATTACCTCCTGAAGTACCCATATTTTTCAGCCCTGAATTGGGGTTTGCAACTGAAGCTGGCCCACTCTGTACAAATACAGATGCTGTCTGTCTACCTCTATAGTTGAGGGCCTATATATGGAGGGAGAATTAGCTTTTTTTAATACTCCAGCCCTAGGAGTCACAGAGTTTGACTTCATCACTTAACTCCCATTTGCAAACCGTTAGCATATAGGGCTGAGAAACATCAAGTGATGAAGCCAAACTTCCTTTTGGAACAGGTGAAAGCAGTTAGAGAGGCCTGCAAGGGAGTCAGCAGATGAGGAAGGTGGTTCCCTATTGAATTAATTACAGGAAGTGATAAAAGGCCCCTTGAGAGGCAGGGTAGGGTTGCTGCAGTCCGAACTTGAGGTAGCTAGCTAGCTTCCCTGTGGTGTTACTCTTGAGTGACCCTATATCCTTTTCTGGTGGTAGCAAAACCTGAGCAGGGAGAGTCAAGAGTCAGATTTCAGTCTGGTATCCAGGTTGTAGCCATATTGGTCTAGAGGAAAAAGCAATTAGGACTTGTGGACAGAGGTGAGATCTTTTATTAGACCAACAAGATTTTTGCAAAAAAAGATACTTAAATTGCATAGGCAGAGAAG